GTCAAAGCTCATGATAAAAAACAATCACTTGGCAAACAAGGTGAAACATCTAGATTCCTCTGACCCGGCTCATTCTTCTACAGAAAAATGAAATCTCACAGGTACTGGGATTTCGTGGAGTTCCTATTCCATTGTTCAGTTTGTCTTTATAGGCCAATCTGAATGGTATTTTTTATGATATAGCATGTGGAGTACAGAGAATCACCTGACCAGAACTGGACAATACTGAACCTGGCATTGAATTCTTGATTCTGCCACTGATTCAGAATCAGCTTTAAGAGTTGGTGGATTTCCCACTGCAGAGTCATACCTAGTCTGCACATGGAGACAATGTAGGGTTCCAGAAACACGGGAGAAATGGAATTGCTAATTCGTATTTGAAGTAGAAGGAAATTTGGCAATTCCTTTAGGATATGTCTCTAAACCTATCTATCTATCTCCTGAATTAAAAATTCTATGGAATTACAATTTTTTAGCATTCTGCCTTGTTCCTCAGCCTGCTGCCAGTCAGTGGTACCGGGCTCAGCTTAGCGGCTGATTACTAAACTTATTAGCAGGATTGATATAGAAATAAAGCAGGCTCATGCTCATCACTCCCAGGATTTTCTTTCCACACTTTACTGAAAGCAATCCCAACTGGCACTTCTCAAGAATTGACTTCCTGGTGTGATTATATTGGCCACAGAATTGCCTGTAAAAAACATTTCATGATCTGTGTTTAAGCTGAAGCCAAATGTTAACAACAAATAAAGGAGCGAACAAAAACACGGAACCTTGGGGTCATGGCATGGGGCTTGCCATATGATCACATTGTCTTAATGAGTTGATATTTTATTTTGAAACATGTAGGACTGCCCTCATTCCAATGTCTTTTTATATTTTGCAGTTAATAGATTTTCTTATTCTTTGCTATTGTTTATGCTTAGTGGACCTGTGATAACTAAACCCATTCAAATCGTGGCAGGTGCATGAAGTAAAGTACAGGATGTACAGTTCATAAGCTGAGAAAGATAAAAGCAGATACCCTTGTAGTAAATGGACAATTCGGTCATATTAACTCCATAGTCTTCATCCTTTAACAGAGACTAAAATGTAAATAAAATTTCTCATTTCAGCAACTAAACTGCCTTTCTATCATCTTTCCCTGGCTAACGAAAGCACATCCTTCAGACCTCAGATGTTGCCTGTTTCAGGCTTTCTGATGTGCACTGTCAGTGAGGTTCCCTGACCCACTCCCCAGCCTACTAGGTGCACACACCCTCAGGCCCTTTCATAGTCCACCTCCCCATCTCTTTTTCGCTCTCTGTATGGATGTATCTTACTGTCTGTGGTTGTATCTTATCCTCTGTGTAATCTCAAGCCCAAGAACATTGCTGGCTGGTAGGAAATGGTCATGAAATTATCGTCAAGTAAGTGAAAGTCGCCTCGCAGACAAAGGATTTGGATACATTTTGACAGTGGAAAGGACATCACTGTCAACTGTGAGGTTGCTTTATTTCTATTCACTGGCACAAGTATTTGATGAGTGACTCATACCTTGTAGCCACTGGATGGAAGCATGAAGGTAGTTACAAAGCATTCCATGGTAGATACAGAGACACACTTTCTACAGAGTGTGCATAACAAAACTGGGGCTACATCAAGGGTAAAAGAACTCCCAAAGGATTTAGCAAAATATTATCATAAAATCATAGAATCTTATACTTGAAAGAGACTTCAGAGTACATTGAGTTCAAATTATATCTAATGTAGTTTTTTCCCCATAACATTTTTACATAATGTTGACATTTCTTGTTAAATATTCTAGGTGAAATTGTGTGAATATTCTATATTTGTGAATAGCCTAGAATTGGTTTACGACTTTGAATGTTTTAAAACAGAACTCGGCAGGGGGCTGGAATGTTATAGAAGAGAACATAAGATTGGTCTGTCTTAGCTTCAAATTGGGAAGTCACATGGTCTTCATTCATTCAAATTAGGAGGCAGAAGTAGCAGGTGATGCGGTTGATTCTCCCCTTCAGGCACTGAGCTGAAATGAAAAGCTTTTGGAAGACATCCTCTCTTTTCTTTTGGTATTTAAGGCCAGTTCTTCAGAGAACTGAAATGACCAGGTCTCAGGGAAGAGTCGCTGTTAGGAATTGCTATTTCCACACATGGCTATCAACCCTTTGATTTCGAAAGTACACAGATATCTCCTTGACTACTAAGAGTAGCTCTGTGCCAGGCTTTCAAAAAGACAGTGCAGCCTCAAACTATGTGCTCTTACTAAAAACACAGTTGAAAAGAAAATGTTTATTAAGGTTTTAAAATGAGTCTAGACAGGGGTGTTTGTCCAAATCAAGGGTGAGACTGAGCAGATACTGTAAGTGATGGGGGCTTTCCATCACACTGCACCCTCTTCAGCATCATCCACTTGCCCTGGAGCCCAAGCCCTCTTCTGCTGGAGTGGTGGCAGGCTTCAGAAGTAACCCCCAAAGCACTTGGCATGATCTAGAACAACAACCAAGAGTTAGGTGACCCGCTCCCTCTTGAAGATCGGGCTGTGTTGTTTTGGTGCACATTTCTAGAAAGCAGATCTTTTACTGGTCACCTCACAAGTGACTGGGCTTGTCCCAGTCTGTGCCAAGCCTGTGTGCTGCCCGTCTGACTGCCTTACTCGTCATTGTCACTGGGATTAGAAATTGGCTCCATCCCCCTACCCAACAGTGCGTGCTGTGCATGTGACAGCCTCTGTTTGGGGGATGGCTTTGGAGCCAAGGCCAGTGTTCTGTGTGACCTTCACCGCTTCAGAGGCTCATTCTCCAACCCATGGAGCACATTCTTCCTCCTCTGAGTTCTCTGCGTGCATCAAGTCTCCGTTTGGGGGAGGTGACCTGGCCTCTTGCCAGAATCGACTTAATCGATCTGACCAAATGGAGAGAACCTGTTAAGACAACAAAGAATCAACCGAAGCTAGCATGCTTTTTTGACCTGACCTCTTATAAACGTTGTTCAAGCAGGGATGCCTAGTCATCGATTCGGTTTTCTCCCTCTCTGCTCTGCACAGTCACCTTGCCGATAATAAACTTAGCTCAAAACCCAGGAGAACACAGGGCTGCTGAACACTGTTAAGCAGAAATATAAATTATTATTTTAAATTCCTCCAGAATGGTGACATTAACTCCAATTGTTGCATGGCAACAACTTGCAACTTTCTCAACCTCGGGGGTAGTCTACTTTGTGTAAAGCTTTGACAACTATGTGCTCTATTTGGGAAGTAAATGGCCAAGGGGAGTCTACCGCAAAATATTCTGCAGGTATTCCAACCCATGTACAACCTCCCCATGTAAACTTTGAGGTTTGGATGGATCATTTAGGAAATGGTGGTGAATGGCTTTCTCTTCTTCTCTATCCAAAATCCATGTGTAACATGGATCCTTGTGATGTCGGGTGCTCCTAACACTTCATATTTTGTTGATTAGTAAGATGCTCTTTCCATAGGAGAGGAAGGGAGAGATTAGGAGGGAGGGGGGACAGGTGAAGAGGAAGGATGATGGAACAGAAGGGAAGGGAAGAACTTGGAAAGGAGGATGGAAAGACTGACAGAAACACCTAGCCGTGCCCTTCCACATTTCCTCTGTGCCACATGGCACCTTAGGATTGTTGAAGGGGAAAAAATGTTCAAGGATGCTAGATAAGAACGGGAAGGCAGACTTCAGTCTGGACCACCACCATAGGTATAGGGTCACTGCAATGGGATTTTCCAGTGGGGGAGAGAGATGAGGCTCAGCTCTCAATGCTGCATGGGGAGTGGGGGTTACAGCCGAGGAGAGGTGCAGTCCCTGATGGGAAATCTCCAACAGGGAACATCAGAGGTAAGCGGGGGTTCTGGCTAACCTGACCCAGCAGGATCTTGCTAAAGGTAGGCCAGGTGAGCAGACCTCACCTGGGGGATGGGGGGTGGGGAGGAAGCCCATCAGATATGGAGGGTGGGGGCTTCTTAGTAAACTGACTCAGCAGAGTTTTTGCTAGAACTGGATTTTCCAAGAAGGGGCACGGATGGGCCTGTGAGACTGAAGTTGAATCAAGCCAAGAATCTTCATCATCACTCCGTCCTTCTGCTCACAAAGAACTGAACATCCCTTTACTTCCTTCTTCACATGGATGCTCTCTATTATTGAAGCTTATCTGACACCATGCTTGCTAAATAATCATCTTCTTACAGTTCAGATTCCTTCCCCTCAGTGCTTTTCTCCTCCCCTTCAGTGTGAATGTCCATCCTGATTGCACCATCCTGCCTTTTCTGTTCCCGCTATGCACACTGCTCATGCGCAAGCCCAGGCACCTCGAGCTTCAGCTAACATCGATAATCCTGCTTCTCCTAAATCCGCTGTGTCTTCAGGCATCCCTCCCCTGAAGGCTAGACTCCTCTTTCAACTGATCACACACCAGTTCCACCTAGACACTGGTTCAAACCTAAGCAGGTGCCCATGTTTGAAAGCAAGAATATTTTCTGATATTTGTCTTGCCTTTGAAATTCCACAAATAGTTTAGCAATCCACTGTCTAACACTGGAAATCCTTAGCATCCTTCTCCTTACCTTCCATGTTCAATAGGCTACAAAACCTATCCATATTAACCCAAAGTGTCTCTTCCCTTTTTATGGCTTTTATTTGCAAATACCATTAACAAGAAAAATAACACAAAATCTAAATAAGAAAAAGAAGTAAAAGAAATGCATGGGGAAACCATAATTGGGGTAATAGTTTCATTAGCAACTTGTATTTGTTAGCAATTTCATTATTTGAAATATTACTCATTATACATTTGTTGAGAAAAAATGAACAAGTTACAAAGAAAAAAAAAACTATTTCAAACAAAAATATATGTAAACGGGAGAAATAACAATAAGACACTCAATGATGTTATTCAGTTGGCAGTAAGGGTAAACAAATTGTGAATGTAGTACTTTTATAAAAGACAAATTCTCCAAAATGTGTTTATTGGTTTTCTGTTTGTAGCTGGCCACTGCGGTTCCCCGGATCCAATCGTGAACGGTCATATCAGTGGAGACGGTTTCAGTTACAGGGACACTGTGGTTTATCAGTGCAATCCTGGTTTCAGACTGGTTGGAACTTCTGTTCGGATATGCTTGCAAGACCACAAATGGTCTGGACTGACCCCAGTCTGTGTCCGTAAGTACATTGCGAACAAATTCAGCAGGTGCTTCCTTTGGTGACGTTTTCTCTTGGTGTGAAGTCTTAGCACAGACATGTGTAGCCTCCAGAGTGAAAGAGAATGGAGAAGCGTCCCTCTCATCTGTGCTAAGGATGCTGTGGGCACGGCTTCCCTTTTCCGTTTCCTTCCTCCAGACTCCTGTCCACAGTGAATGTGCTCCCTAATTCATCTCAAACAGGTCCCAGGACGAGTGATGTCATGCACTCATTTTCCTGATTTTATCACAGGATCAACAAGGTGGAAACAAGCTAATTATAGGAGGACAAAGATGCTGAGTCTGAGTCTGCAGGTTGGCTTTGCAGAGTCCCCAAAATAGCCTCACACCCCTAATCTTCTGTGTTGTTTTCTATTTTTGTCATTGTTTCATTAAGAACACAGAGTTTTGTAAGCAGGCCTTTAACAGAGAGAGGTAAAACTGGATAATGATTGTCTTCTAATTTTATACTATCCAAGATAAATATTGACCTGTATTTTTAGAAGACGTCATACTGTCTATTGCAAAATTTATTTTAAATCAATTTTTTCCCCTAGTATATTCATTTTCCTGTGAATTAAACAAAGGAAATGTTGATATAGGTCTAGGATAATGACAGGTATTCTCTGGGATGGTGCAGTGGGAAATGTGCAGAGTTCAGGGGTGAAAGCTTTGCTTAGAAGAAAGAACTGTTGACAAGATAAATGAGGAAGGAAAAACCAGTTTTATGACTGTAATGTGTTTCTTTTGAAAGGGCCACTGAGGATATCTTTGGGATTTGTATGGCTGTTATTTAGGGTGTTACATTAATGACATTCACCACATTTCAAAAGATTCTATAATTGGGATTGTCAAAGGAAATGCTGTTTGAGCACACACACTTATTTTGCTAATTTCATGGTGTTTAAACTGATACTGGAATAACTTAGGCATATGCAATTTAAATTATCAGCCAAGCCTCTATAATATTTCAAAACAAGGGTTCCAAAAACTGACTGGTGTATTCTAAAGGGAAAATATTCAAGATTCGCAATTAAAGAATTTTAGCACCTCTTAATTTTCACTGCTTTATTATAGAGTTATCTGATATTCTGTCATGACGGAAGAACAATTACTATGCTGAAGAAAGTACATTTGCCAGTGTTGGTTATTTTCCACAATTATAATATAACCCGGTGGTGGGTCACCTTACAGTTCTCCCTCACTGTTTCCCCTTCCAAACATACATGGGATTTGTAACATGCCTGGATGTCTGTTAGTGAGGAACTCCAAGGGAGGGCGATGGCCTGGGTATTTTCTGACACTGATGAGGGCCTGTCTTCCTACACAGCCATCACGTGCGGCCACCCCGGGAACCCTGCGCATGGACTCACCAATGGCAGTGAGTTCAACCTGAATGACGTGGTGAATTTCACCTGTAACACTGGCTACCTGCTGCAGGGTGCCTCTCAAGCCCAGTGTCGGAGCAATGGCCAATGGAGTAGCACTCTGCCCACCTGTCAAGGTAGGAAAGGCTCCCGGAATGAGCCCTGTCAGCTGAGGGTAGCAGGCGGGTGAACATGCTGAGCTCGGTACCTGTGTGCGTGATGCTTCATCTCAAAGCATAGGATGCCATATCTCAAGGCACAGGATGCCACAGACGTTTTCACTGCTCACGGCGGGGAAGACGTTTGTGAGAATAAAGCACAAATGCCTCCATGGCCTTTGTTGGTACTGGCCAGGTGTTCGAGCAGAATAGTCTAGGACTCTAATTAAGGTAAACTTGTCTTCCATCTCTTTGTCTTGATCCATTCACTCATCCAGACAGCATCTTTGCATTTTGAGCTTCTAGACCTACAGATCCATTTAAGAAGTTCTCATTGCTTTTAAATCTTTTTTTTTTCATTCATTTTTTTAATTGCCACACAGATCTAGGCTAAAACCTGAATTTTCAAGATAATGGTATTTTGGAGCTTTTGTATTTCTAGATGTTTGAGCTCATAGTATGTAAGTTTCTGCTTCAGTGCTTTCCATTAAAACATCTCATGCGCTGAAGGTGAATCAGACTTTACTGTGAAGGTGAAGGAGTTTTTATGGAGCTGTGGTATGAGAGCCAGATACTCCGTGAGTTTTCCTCTCGCTGACAATCACCCGCCTTCCCACTGGGCTCCCAAGGAGGCTGCATCCAAGTAAGACAATAGCACAAAGGGATCTAAGCAATTTTTAAAAATAGTTATGTGAAATTGGTAACAAACCGTAGAGTCCCGGTGCAGGTTTCTGCTAGGCCTACGCTCTAGAGGAAGCGAAGTCTCCTAATTTCACTTCCCTCTAAACACTAGTATCAGATTCACCCTATTTCACTGTACAGGAAATCTTGCCATGAAGAGAAAGCCCCATTGGTCCCCTTGTCCTCACTCTCCCCAGAAAGCAGTCTTTTGTCTGTGATGTGGTTGGGTGTGGGGTGCAGAACACACTTTCTCACTGAGTTTCCTACGGAAGAGCCCCTGGGTGCTCTCCTGACAATGTGGGTGGTCTGATCAGCTTGAAAACTAACAAGTTTACCTTTCGTCATTGTTATTGTTGTTGTTATCAGTGGTATGAGCCAGGGGCCAGGGTGGAGGGTGAGCGGGGTTAGGGGACATCTTCGAATGTGTGTACCCACCCCACAGAACGCTGGCTTCTGTGCGCCTCTCGCCTCTCGGCCCTGAAGGTCAGGACAGCGGCAGGAACCACCCTCCGCTCTCCCGGGGAAGCTTGAGCCTCACATTCTGCCAGAAGTGGTGAGGACGGGGCAGCTGCAGAAAGACGCAGCTATTAACGTCTGCCATGTGTTCATGTGGCTGTAGCGATTTAGAAAAAGATTAACCAGCTTTAATCAAACTGTTTTCTCCACCTGTGGGACAGGAAAAAAAAATAGCACAACTGAAACAATGATTAAAAAACGAATGCCCGTAAACGGGGGTCCAATTTGTCCTCGTGCAGGGGTATGGCATAAGTGTGCGTTGATGGCTTAGGTACATCAGAGCGCTCTGGATCTGTTCCCAAAGCCCTTCTAGCCAACTTAATAGAACATTTATTAAGCTCCTGCTGTATTCCAAATGCTGTGCTATGTATGCCCTGTCAGTACGGAGATAGGGAAAGTAATTCATACCTTTAAGGAGATACAGTGAAGAGGGCCAGGGGAGTGAGCTAGCTAGGGAGAGAGAATGTCACCCACAGACGCTGAGACATCGTCCATCTGACACATAACATCTTGCTGGGCGAAAGATGGAATGAGCTCAGATTGTGGGCTTTTCATGATCAAACCTTTTTTTGTGATCTATATTCCATTTTCCTCTAACTTATACCAAAGAAGAGGAGTAGAAATTAAATGCCATCATTTATTAACAGTTTTCAGGGTTTTAGATGCTGTCCTTGAGATGCCTACAGCACAGCATAATGCTGGGATGTATAGTAACCTCTGCAGTCTTCATTTTGCCTTTTCTTACCTTTCTCCCTTTTCTCAAAATATATGAAGTTACTTAATTTTTAGCAGAACACAGAAAGGAAATGTTTTAAGTTCGTAGAAAAGTTGAGCAAAAGAAACAGATTTCCCATGTAACCCCTCCCCACACAGACACATGGCCTCCCCCACCATCAGCATCCCCACCAGATGGTGCATTTGCGACAATTGCTGAACCCACAAGGACACATCGTCTTCTCCTAGAGCCCACAGTGAACATCAGGGTCACTCTTGGTGTCGTTCATTCTATGGGTTTGGACCAATACATAATGACATGTATCCACCCTGAGGGTATCCTACAAAATAGCTTGACTACCCTAAAAACCCCCACTGCTCCACCTGTTCATCCCTCCCTCCCAACTAACCCCTGGCAACTACTGATCTTTTTACTGTCTCCTTAGTTTTGCCTGATCCAGAATGTCATAGAGTTGAAATTATACTGGATGTAGCCTTTTCAGACTGGCTTCTTTCTCTTAGCAATAGGCATTGAAGGTTCCAACATATCTTTTCATGACTGGGTAGCTCATTTCTTTCTTTCGCTGAATGATATTCCATTGTCTGGATGGGCCACAGTTTATTTATCCATCACCTACTGAAGGACATCTTGGTTGCTTCAAGTTTTGGTAATATAGAGGTTTTTGTGTGGACATGAGTTTTCAGCTCCTTTGGGTAAATACCAAGGGGCATGATTACTGGATTGTATGGTAAGAGCATGTTTAATTTTTTGAGAAATCACCAACTGTCTTCCAAAGTGGCCGCACCATTTTGTACTCCCGCCAGCAATGGGTGAGGGTCCCCGTTGCTCCACATCCTTGTCAGCTCTTGGTGTTGTCAGTGTCCTGGATTTTGGCCGTTCTCAAAGGTGTGTAGTGGCTCTCCTGGTTGTTTTAATTTGCATTTCCCTGATGACATATGATGTGAGGCATCTGCTGTGCTCACCTACCAGCTGTGTATCTTCCTTGGGGAGGTGTCTGGTAAGGTCTGTGGTCCAGTTTGTAATTGGGTTGCTTGTTTTCTCACTGTTGAGTTTTAAGTATTCTTTGTATATTTTGGATTAATAGTCCTTTATTCATCACCTCCTTTGCTAATATTTTCTCCTACTCTGGCTTGTCTCTCATTCTCTTGGCACTGCCTTTTATACTGTAGAACTGTTAAGTGTGTGCTCCATTTTGAAAGCTGCTAATCCAGTGCATCTGGTGAAGGGGGGAGATGGCTGGCAGATGCAGTCCTACGGGTGTTAGTGGACTGGAAATCACTAGAACATCTCCAGGGTGCCTTTGCTCACCACTTCTTGTTCTCTGTTGTTTTGTTTTCTTCATTTATGAGCTAAGAGATAGGATCTAGGGAACAGAATTTACATGTTTATTATAAAACCAGGAAAAGCATGACTTCTAAGAGGACAGGCTCATAAAGGTGGTGAAGCCTTAGGAAAAAAATGGCATAAAACTCAAAAGTTGAAGATCAAAAATAGCTACTTTTTAAAAAAATTTTATTGTTATGGTAATCACCATACATAACATCATTAGTTTTTGATGTAGTGTTCCATGATTCATTGTTTGCGCATAACACCCAGTGCTCCATGCAGAACGTGCCCTCTTTAATACCCATCACCAGGCTAACCCATCCTCCCACCCCCCCCAGAACCCTCAGTTTGTTTTTCAGAGTCCATCGTCTCTCATGGTTCGTCTACCCCTCCGATTTCCCCCCCTTCATTATTCCCCTCCGGCTATCTTCTTTTTTTGTTTTTCTTAACATATATTGCATTGTTTCAGAGGTACAGATCTGTGATTCAACAGTCTTGCACAATTCACAGCGCTTACCAGAGCACATACCCTCCCCAATGTCTATCACCCAGCCACCCCATGCCTCCCACCCCCCACCACTCCAGCAACCCTCAGTTTGTTTCCTGAGATTAAGAATTCCTCATATCAGTGAGGTCATATGATACATGTCTTTCTCTGATTGACTTACTTCGAAAAATAGCTACTTTTTAAACAAAATTACCAGGGATTTGTAATGCGTATTGCAGTACAACCTGATTCTTATCTTATGTGGTTCCTGGAATAATTCCACAGAAGTTTTAGGATGTCATGTCTTATGCAAGCATGCTGTTGTGCTTGATTTCTTCTCCCAAATTCTTGATCATATCTTGATCACATTTGAGAAATGTCTGATTTGGGTAGGTCAATGAATTGTGGAATTTGGGGTAATCCTACAACATTTAGTTAGTTCATGATGTGAAAGAGAAACTCCACCCAGAACTTTGGAATGGAACTCCAAATAAATCTGTGCTGAAGTGAGGACAGATTACACAGAGATTTCTACAAAGTCTGTCTCCGCTCAGGGGCCACCTCATTGTTCTCAGCCCTTAACAGGAAGAAACTCTACCTGAGCCTGCAGCATCTGTGATCAGTCAGAAGGCTCACACCCAGGATGCTAGCTATAATGCTTTATACTCAGCCGCTAACACTATCTTTGCAAAGAGGATTAGGAAAGTAAAAGAAGGTATGTTTTTTGTTAGTAGTTATAGCTCTCTTGAAGAAATGTATAATAAATGATATGGTTGCAGATTTCATGAAAAGGAATGAAAATAAGTGTCTCATATCTGTTTTAAGAATCAGATTATGTACACCATCCTGGAGGCCCGTGTTTCTATATAGAAGCTTTCTTTGAACCTTCATTTCCTAAGTTCCAAAATATGTGTCAATAAGCTCAAAGGTCCAGTCAGTTCAGTGAGAATGCCAGGCCTGACAAAGTTTTAGGATAATTGACTTGATATTTCCTTTCTTAATGTAATAATTTTTGTATGGCATACAAACCTTAGATAGTTTTCCCGTTCTTATCTGTAGTTTTGTAGGATTGGGTGTTTAAATTCGGAGATGTAAAATATATGTCCCCATGTGACTATACATATGAATATAAACAAAATTAAGAAAATGTGGGATTAGTGAAGTTTCAGTTATGGTTAGAGAGGAATAAAAAAGGAAACAATAAAAAAAACCCTCACTGAAGAAGCACTATGC